CCATGCCCTCAAGTGCAGTATCATCCAAACTAACAAGGTCTCCTCTGGCCTGCCCCCACTCAAAACCCAAAGGCCCTTGGCAGCATGCCTACCAACCATTCCTCCCCTACTGGTCCTGGCCGGACCTCTGCAATTTCCATGACAAACAGCCTCTGGGTGACCTCAACAACTAAAAGCTAGGGAAAAAAACCCCTTTCTTCCACACAGGTGGCACATTCCCAGCCTTTCTCACCACAAATCCTCTCCCATGACCAAAAACCAACACCCTGCCCATCAAGCCCCAAAGTGGGCTCATTAGGCCCCCTACTTTCCTACACATGCCAGCCCACGGTTTAATGCAGACAACTGCTTTAGTTACAGTACCCCCATGATCACTAGTCAGCCACACTCACCACGGGTCCAGCCTTGCTCAACACAAAACCGCCTCCATGACCACAAACCACACCCTGACCATCAAGCCCCAAAGTGGGCTCATTAGACCCCTAATTTCCTACACATGCCAGCCCGTTTAATGCAGACAACTGCTTTAGTTACTGGTACCCCCATGATCACTAGTCCAGCCACACTCACCACGGGTCCAGCCTCTGCTCAACACAAAACCGCCTCCATGACCAAAACCAACACCCTTACCATCAAGCCCCAAAGTGGGCTCATTAGACCCCCTAATTTCCTACACATGCCAGCCCACTGTTTAATGCAGACAACTGCTTTAGTTACCAGTACCCCCATGATCACTAGTCCAGCCACACTCACCACCACGGGTCCAGCCTCTGCTCAACACAAAACCCCCTCCGTGATGAAAACCACCAACCTGACCATGAAGCCCCAAAGTGGGCTCATTAGACCCCCTAATTTCCTACACATGCCAGTCCATGGTTTAATGCAGACAACTGCTTTAGTTACCAGTACCCCCATGATCACTAGTTCAGCCACACTCACCACCACGGGTCCAACCTCTACTCACCACAAAATCCCCTCCGTGACCAAAACCACCAACCTGACCATGAAGCCCCAAAGTGGGCTCATTAGACCCCCTAATTTCCTACACATGCCAGCCCGTTTAATGCAGACAACTGCTTTAGTTACCAGTACCCCCATGATCACTAGTCCAGCCACACTCACCACCACTGGTCCAGCCAATCTTTCTTCTTCACAACCTATGTGTGCTTTGGGGGTAAACAGAGTGGCGAGCACCACCTCAACAACCACTACTACCTCCACCACAACCAGCACCACCAAAACCACCACCACCACCACTTCTACCACCACCATTTCTACCACCACCCCCCAAACCACCCCACCACAAGACCACCACCACCAAGATCACCACCACCACGACCACCACCACCATGACCACCACCACCACCACTTCCACCACCAACTTGATCTCTCAGGGTTTCCACCTTGGCGCTTCTGCTCCCTCTGGTGCCCACAACCCAGTGGCCCCGAACTCTTTCCAGATCCCTCAGCCCTCTACCCTGTCCATATCTGCACCACCCACCTCTTTTGGTCAGCCCCTACCCAGTACTAATCCTAGCACCCCTGGCATAAGTGGCCTTAACCACCCACTCACTACTACTACCAGCCTGGGGACACTGAGAGTCAGAGACACCACCAACCCTTCCTGCAACACCCATCCCATTCCCCCACCCTACATAGGACCCAAATCCCAGCTCACCAATGGAGACTCAAAGCAGGAGGAGAGGGTCAAGATGTCAACCCTTATTGAAGCATTCACTGCTCTGTCACTGGCCGATTCTGTGACACTCCAGGCACACAAGCATCAGAGTCAACAGAAACTGGGCAAATCCATGAGCTCTCTGGTGAATAAGTTTTCTAATCTTTCCTTTGTTTGAGAGGCATTGCCTCAGTTGTGCATTATTATTATGTATACATTGTTATAGATATATTTCCATTTGTTTAAAAATAAAGATACATTTCTGTATTTTAAAACAATCAGAGTAAATACATTAATTTCATGTGTTCATGGGGCATCAGACACAGATATCTGGAAACTTTGCAAGTATTATCAACCCCAGTGCCCTTTTTTAATTAGGTCAGTATTCTAAGACTGAGAAGAATGAAACAAACTCAGAGAGATCTCTGACAGATAAATTGAAACATGGAGCTCCTAAGTTTTGGTCCAAACTTTGAGTCTCCATATGAGCTAAAGCTTACCGTGTCTTACCGTTTATTTGGTTAGTCAGTGGAGTTAATGCCAAAATTTTAATTTCTGGAAGGACTTTGCCTGAGATGTTGCATTTTTTTTTTTTGTCTAAATCATTGGCTTGTATTTTAGTATCAATAGTATGCATGGAAAAAACTATAAATCTTGCTTTTGGAATAAAGTTCTATGAGGAAGATGACAAATCTGTGTCATAAGAGGTGATATCATAGGTTACTGAGAGGGTTTCCTAACAGCTTTGGCTGAAGACAGTTATTCAGCCTGGGTGTCCCCGTTTCCTCTTTTTGCAGCAATGTTGCAAGGAGAGGAAGTAACCAAGTGCATCTGGTTTAGAACCATTCTCCATCTTCTCTCTCTCCAGCATCTGTACTGCTCTGGGGTGATTCAAATAGCCCTTGGTCAAAGCTAACTGCCTGCTTTTCTTCTGAGAAACACCCTTTTGCCTAATGTTGGGTTTAAAACTTTCTCATCAAAAGGTGGAAATGTGTGTCACTCATTGGCCTGCACTGGTAGGAGGACTATTACCAGTTCCTCCAAATGAAGGCAGATGTTTGCAGAACTGAGTCAACACCAAGAAAGTTTTTAAGATCACAGAAAATTTTATTAATAAAAGATTGTTAGTTTTTTAAAATAGAAATCCCACAGCCTATCTTTAAGGCCTCAGTAAGGGTCTTCTGTAGCACTTGAATATTTCTCGCAGATGTTTCCACCTCTAGGGTTCTCATATGGTATTTACTTAAAGTTGTAGTGGCCCAATAAAACTTGTTCAGTTCTTTTGCTTGAAGGTTATTAGATTGTGGAAACAACTTGGAGTGTAAGGCTGAATTTTAGTCAAGGGTATATTTACATGGTCCCATTTCTGTAAGTATCAAAGTCTTTTCCAAAAATGGAGGCTGACTTCTTACAGTAGAAGTTGGATTAGCCAGACAAGATTGATGCATTTTGAGTTATTGCTTGTGATTTTTACATGGATTCCCTTTGTCTCTGGATAATTTCCATGAATCACTGCAGAACCATGAAAAATTGAATATTTGGGGATTTGGGTGTATGTGTATATTGATATTGTTACTGGATTTTGCTTTACTTTATCGGCTATAGTTAAGAAAAAGCTGCATGCTTATGTTTATGTTTATTCACTCTACAATCTTTTTGGCTTTGGGGAATTTCTTTAGCTGAACCTTGTACTCCTCACCAAGCACACACACACACACACACACACGCCCACTGGGTGGCAAGTGTCAGCTACAGGGGATACAGTCTTGATCTGTCACAAGTCCTTCAACTTGACACATTCAGGTTATTCATCGAACAATCAGTGTAATCAAGAAGTTCCCTGTGATGTGTGGCAGGGCCTAGTGTTTAGGATTGTATCTGTATATAAGCCCTACTGTGAGCACTGTAATTGCCAAAATGTGCATGAGTGGCTCTGACCTCCTTGGTTACATGAAGGAAGAGCAAGGGCAAGATGGGGAATGCTCTTCAAATATCTGATTCCCATGGAAGCTTTGCTTGTTTTGTTGCTGGAGCACTGCAAGGCAAATGCTGCTCACTTCTTTTAAGAAATCCCAGCTGCAGAAGGAGTTGCTGAACCCAGTAGGGAGTGTTGCCAAGACACTCTGTTGGAGCACTGATGTGGCAATGAGCAGACATTCTCTGAAAAAGGAAAATAAAAGCTCATGGAAACATTTAAGATAAAAGGAGACTTATCTATGACTATGTCTACATAAACACAGTTTGGGACTTGGGGACCAAGTTCATGCCATTATTAATACTGTCGAGGCTCTTTTGTTCTAGGTGGGTTTAGGAAATTTTTCTCTTGGCTTAGATGACATCAGGTCTCAACTGGTGAATATGAAGTGTATTGTTTTTTACATGATTTTTTTTTTTTTTTATCTTGTGCTGGGTTGAATTGAAGGCCATGCTCATGTTAGGTAAGCACTCTACTACTGAGCTGCGTCTTCAGCCCTGTATAAATTATTCTAAAAAGTCGCAACTATAAAAATGTAAACTTCTGCTGGATTCAGTGGCATATACAATAATCTCAGAACTCAGCAGACTGAGGCCGGAGAATCACTAGGTTCCAAGCAAACGTGAGTTAAATGGTGAGTTCAAGGCCATTCAGGCCTACATAACAAGACATTTCCTCAAAAATGTAATCTACAGTTAATAATATGGTTAGAGAAAGTAAATTTGGAAAGCACAGGTTGCTTAGCTGCTTTTGCTCCATTCCATGATGGTCGGTTTCTGTGTCCATGAGAAAATTCCTCCACATCCTTTGTTTTCAGTTTACTATGACTTCGTCATTAATCTCAGGCCATGAATAACATATGGCAATAGGGAGGAAAAACCTCATGGATGAATGAATCACTACTATTGCTTGAAGATGCAAGTGTGACTTGGGGTGATGACACACATAAAGATGAGGATGAAACCTTCCTCCATAGACCAACTTACAGTCAGGAGGAAGTTTTTGGTCAATCACTGCTTGGGGGCTTTTAGATAATCCAATCACATCCTCTTTCTCCCATCCTCAGTTTGGAACCTATTGAAATATGCGATACAAGTGAAACAAAGGGAGAGCAAAAATATTACTACCATTACTCATAAAAACTGCATTAAGGAATACAATTTAATTTGTGCTCAAATGGGCATCTAATATCTTCTCTACTATCCATAGTCAATCAAATCTCCCACTCAAAAATTATAGAAATTCCACTTGCAGGGGATATCTCACATAATTGAGAGCAGAATGCAATGCTTCTCTGCACAGAAAACTATCTCTGCAAGATACCACAGCCCACAGGAACTTCCCACAAGTTCACATCACATTGAACTCATCCTTCCATAAGGAAGTATGGGAAAGGAATGAGGAGAGGCCAGATGGTAGTAGAAAATCTTCCATAGAAAGGTCAGACAAGAGAAGGCAAAACTTACAAAGACTGAAAGTCTGAACTAGCTTCACTGTGAGTGCCATACTTGCAAAAATGTGCAGTAGTGACTCTGACTGACATCTTTGGTCACATGAAGGAAGGGCAGGGGAGTGAGGAGGATGCACTGTGAGTATCTGATTCCCATGGGAGTTTTGCTTCTTTTGCTTCAGGGGCACTGTATGGCAAAGGCTTTGTAGTTGATGAAGGGAGAGAACAGTCAGTACCTTAAGAGTTCAAGGAGTGAAGTAGACAATAAGCCCATAAAGTAAGGGGATTGAAAATAGAGGACAGCAAGATGATGAATAGAGATCAGTGATTAAGGCCAAGTTTTCTAGCTCAGTTGGACAGGTAAGAGGCTGAACAGCTCATCTGACAGGTATAGATGGCTAAGAATACAAAAACTGCACTTCAAGTTTTGAGAAAGGGAAAATACTGGTGGGCCTTACTTTCCTAGGGTTTGGGATTCCTAAAGAGCAAGGGGAAAGTGTAAATGAAAAGTAAAAATATTCTCAAAGAAATGGAAGCTCATTTTAGAATCTTCTTAATCTCCATAGTTAAACTGAGGAGATCCCAGATTGAAGATACCCATAGATGTTTAGTAGAAATGAACACAATTACTTCCTAATGAGTGATAATACCATCCTAGTCCTCACTTCATTTCTATAAAAAACATTACAAAACCCATCTGGCACATAAGGGAAAAATCCTTACACACAATTAGACAAGGTCGCATGGATGAAATGAATGGAAACACTAGAGTAGAAACATTAGGAAGGTTACAGATATTGGTGTTCTCAGGCACAGACCTTTAGAATAACTGTACTTTGTGTTGTCCAAGGAGAAAAGAGACACTGAAGAATTCTGAAAGCAAAAAATAAAAACTTTATACTACAATTATAAAGTTCTAAAGTGAAGTTCTAAATTAAAAAATACACTAACCCAAATTAATAACTCAATGGAGAGGTTTAGTAGCAGTTCAGATATAGCTAAAGAATAATTGATAAAATAGAATACAGGTCAGGTGAAAATATTAAAACAAATTTTTCCTTTACCCAGCAGGCCAATAATGAAAGAAATGCTTAAAAGCATTCTTTTGGGTTTTTTTTTTTTTTTTTTTGAGACAAGGTTTCACTATGTAGTTCAAGCTGTCCTCATATCCTCCAATCTCAGTTTCCTGAGTGCTGGGACTACCACATACCCAGCAAAGTGCCACCACACCCACCAAAGAGCATTGTTTAGGTAAAAAATAAATGAGACCATGTGGAAGCTAAAAAGTTCATGTAAATGGAAAAATGAGGCCTGTTAAAACTATTCCAGGTATGGGGGAGGGGAGAGTAAAGGAGAATGATGGATGGGGAGAATTCAACTATGGGTATTTAATAAGTTTTGTAAATGTCACAATGCCCCCAATGCAACAATTCAAAAAAGGCATGATAAAAAGATATATGTATATTCACTTAATATTGTGTGTATAAAATAAAAATAGACCATCATATAAATTGGGAGAATAAAATAAATTATTTTAAGATTGTCTAGGAAGAGGGTAGAGGCAAAAATGAAGTTAAGACATTTATAACCTCTAGGACAAGTATGCTAGAAGAGTAAAATATCATGTAACTTCCAAGATAATGGGAGGAGGCAATAAAGAAATGTAAATAATACAAAAGAAAGAAAGAGGGAAAGAAAACTCCCTGTAGGCAAAATGATAAGAAATGAGTGATACAGTACATTAAAGTTTTACATAGAAAGATAATGTTGAGTAATCAAGTCAATTTGGAAAACAAGGAAGGAGGAGAATCATTCTACCTGATTTCAAGACTTAATAAATGGCTGTAGAGATCAAGACTATTGTATTCGCAAAGAGTAGAACAGAGAATCCACAAACAGCTCCATATAAATGCAGACAACTGATTTTTGAGAAGGGTGCAAAGGACAATCTTGTCAACAAATGGCATTTGGCCAACTGGAAATCCATAGCTGTCCCTCACCTACCACAGGGGAAAAATAATCCAAACAAACATCAAACAAAATTAAATTGAAATAGATTTAAATGCAAAATTATAAAACAGACAGAAGACATCATAGGACAAAACCCTCAGTTTTCACAGAGTTCTTATTAGGGCACAAAGCAAGACACATAAAAGAAAAATGTTTATATCTTTATCTATGTCTAATCATTCTATATATGTAGGTGGTACTGGAGTTTGCACTCAGGAACTTGTGCTTGCAAGGCAAGTACTCTGTCACTTCAGCCATACCCCAGTCCTTTTGGCTTAAGTTATTTTTCAGATAGGGTCTCATGCTTTTTGCCTGGGTCTGGCCTCAAACTGTGACCCTCCTTATCTCTGCCTGTAGCTGGGTTTGCAGGTATTCCCCACTACATCTGGCGACATTAAGGACCATTAAAGAGGATGGAAAAGCAAGCTACAGACAGGGAGAAAATATCTGAAATGCACATCTTAATAGAGAACTCATATCTAATGTATAGAATAGCTAAAACTCAATGGTAAAACAAGAAAAAAATCCAATTAGAAAATGGGCAGAAGATAGTGAAATTTTACCAGAAAGAATATATGAATGTCAGTGAGCATATCAATAGGTGGTCAGCATGATTAGTCATTAGGGAAATCACAATTAAGACCAAGGTGGCATTCACAATATAGCTATTACAACTGCTAAAATAAAAACCAGTATTCAAAATATCCTAATAAGTCAATTTTTTAAAACGGGTAAAAACTTGAATAGACGTGTCTCCAGAAAGACATACAAATGACTATCAGGTATATGAAAACATGATCGACATCATTAATCATCAGAACTGCAAATCAAAGCTATACATGATATACGTGATACACCTACTTGGTAGGCTGAGGTGGATCAAATTGTGGTTTGAAGCCAACCTGGGCATGGACCTTGTGAGATCCCCATTTCAACCAATAGCTGGGTGTGGTGGCAAAAGCCTGTCATCCCAAGCTATATGAGAGGATTATAATTCCAGACAAGCCTAGTCAAACAGTTAATAAAACATCATGTCAATAGAAAAGAGCTAGATGTGGTAGCAACTGCCTATCATACTAGCCACAGCAGGACATTTAAAATAGGAAGATTATGGTTCAGGCACACCTGGGCAAAAAGGGAGACCTATCTGCAAAATAACCAGAATGAAATGGACTGGAGGTATGGTTCAAGTGGACAGTGCCTGCTTAGCAAGCATGAAGCCACAGCACACACACACACACACACACAAAATCAAAATGAGATATAACTTTACACCTGTTAGGACAGCACTCAGCACCTAAATAAAAAATATATTCAGAGAATGTGCGGAGTTGTCTAGCTTTGGTGGGAGAGTTCAGTTACTAAGAAATACAGTAAGCAAGTACCTAAAAAATTATAAATATTGTTACATATGACCTAGAAACCCTACTTCTGGGTGTGTAGCAAAAAGAATTGAAATCAGAATCTCAAAGGGGTATTAGAATACCAATGTTCACTGCAGCAGCACTCAAGCCAAGACTGGAACAACCTAAATATCCATGGATGGATGAATCGACCAGGACTAATATTATATATACATACAATGGAATATAATTCAGTCTAAAAACATAACAAAATCCCGCAATGTGACTACATTCATGGACCTTGAAGACATTATGCTTAGCACCATACACCGGTCACACAGAGAAGGACAAATACTGTATTCAGCTCTCTGAAGCACTAAATAGTCAAGCTCACAGAATCAGAGAGAATTGTGTGGTCCATGGCCTTGGAAGAGGGGAATGGAAGGTTGCTAGTCAGTGGGCATGAAGTGTCCATGAGGCACCATGAGTAAGCTCTAAAGAGCCAGCCGATGGCACAGAGTCCAGGGAACCCATTACTGCAGAGTACACTTTAAATTTTGTTAAGAGGGCAGCTATCATGCTAAGTGGTCTTACCGTAACAAAATAAAAAATTAAACAACAGTGACAATATCCAATGTTGAAAAGTATTGAATGCTAATAGCTACCTGTCTGACTCAGGGGCAGTGTTTACTTTTATTAATACCTTTAAACATGATGATGCACTTGATCATTTTATGTTGATATGGAGTTTTATATTCCAGGTGGCAATCCTGAGAAGCAGAACTTTTTAGATTTGGTGTTCACAATTGTTCTGAGTTTTCCATGGCAGTAATTATTATTCCTATATTTACAAAAGGAAATTGAGGTTCAGGGTGGTTGTAAGCCTCACTAAAAGCACACAACTATTCAGTGGCAAAGCCTGGTCCCAAACTCAGCCTTCTCAATTTTTGGCCCAGTGCCATTGTTACCTTGTCATGCTCCCTTCCTTCCTGTATTGTTGCCAGTGCAGTGCATCCTGCTCTGGGGAAAGGGTCTTCTTAGGAAAAGTGCATGTCTCTCTTTGGCACCTTCCTCATGTTGGTGCTTCTGCCTCAGTTTCCTGGAACCCTGTGAGTGCATGGGAGCCAGCCCACTGCACGCTGCCTGCTGTGAATTTCGCTTTCCTCAGCAAGTCCATATGGTTGCTTTTGCAATAGTATGTGGTCCCGTGGCAAACTTATCACAGGCTGATTGCTGGGTTTCTCTGCCTTCCTGTGTCAGCTGAAGCCAATATGATTAAAGAGAATCCATATCAGGATGGGTTCAGTGCCAAGAATACCCTACATGAAAAGCCCAACTTTGAAACTCAGGTTAGTACCATTATCAATATTGAATCTTCTGATGTAATTTCACTGCTGAAAGGCAACTAAAGATGACTATAAATGAAAACAGTGTTGATTTTATCCTCTCAATAGAAAATGCAGCATTATTTGGATTCACATCATAGTCTAATTATTGATTTCTTCACCACAAATGAAAAACAGAAAGACTGTAGGAAGAAAAGAGCCAAGGAAAAAACAGAAAGAAATGGTGAGTAGTAGCCATGTAGAGAAATGCTGTACGAGAGGTGTAAAGCACAGGCACCTTCACAAGACCTTTTCATAACCAGGAATGATAAAGCTTTCAGTCACTTCCATTTCAATAGCTTCCGTGGATTCAAAGCCCAGTGTTGGTCTTGAAGTGACCTTGAGGATTCACAATGATGGGACATAGCAGAGCTCTTTCCGGATGATGGCATCCATCTAGCATGACCTTGGGAATACAAAAATATTTTAAAAAATTTTTTTTTTATTTGTATGTGCATACAATGTTTGGGTCATTTCTCCCCCCTTTCCCCACCCCCTCCCTTATCTCCCTCCACCCTCCCTCTCCCAACCCCCTCGCTACCCAGCAGAAACTATTTTCCCCTTATCTCTAATTTTATTGAAGAGAGAGTATAAGCAATAATAGGAAGGACCAAGGGTTTTATACAGAAACATTTTTAGACATCACAAATAAACTTTTGTAGAAGCTTGGCTTTCTGATGACTTTTGAGTGTTATAATCTGCTGTTATAATCATTCCACAGCAGAATCTGCTTCTACGTAACACGAGCCTTTGACAGTCAATCTGAGAACACCAATGAAGATAATCAGGAAATCAATTTAAGAACCAGGGAACAAGTGAGAATAAAAAAGTTGGGAGTTTTTGGACAGGAAATTGGAAAAGAAGAGCAATCTGAAAGTGGCAAGTGATGAAGGATGAGTTACACTCAAAACTGAACTGACCACAGCCCAGATTCCTTCCCCCGAGCTGTTTCCCAAACTTCATTCTCACAATATGTTTTGCGATTTTCACATAGCAACCTACAGCTGTTCAAGTTTAATATTTTTATTTAAATTCTGTTCATTTAAAAATAGTTTTATAAGTAGAAAAGCATTAACAGTTGTTATTATAAGAGCAAAAGGAAGTATAATACAAACAATTTCATAATTTTTAGCATTTACTATTTGGTTTGCTCAAAGTTCTAAACTTGAAGGCTTATTATTTTATTGTTCCCAGAAAGGCAAGTTAATAAGTGTAGATGGAGTTTTAAAGTTAAACCATCATAAAAGTGATTCTCTTTGATGTAGTCAGCAAAAATTGAATAATATTCCTGTTGTGCAAATTAATTTAGTTGCAGCAACAAAAAACAATTTTAGGAGGAGACAAAGTAGGTGGCAGTAACAGATCACCATAGGGTCATTTACAAAGGCTGTTGTTTGAGTCACTACTCCATTCACTACCTCTCTTCATGTGCTCTTTGCATCTCTTAGGTGGAGACTGAATGATTCCCCATACCTTGAATAGTGATGGCACTTGAGCAACAGTTTGTTAATAACATTTAAATGGGAGAGTGATGGTTCTTTGAAAGGAAATCAGATCTGTAGCACTCCAAGAAGGGGATGCATGTTCCATGCTCAAAAGCTGACATGTGTTCATTGCATATTCTTGATGCTCTGATTGGATACCAACAGCCCAACTCCCAGACTGCGGAGATGCTTTCCATTCTGGGAAGTGATGAACAGGTGTTCTAGGTCATAGGAGTCATGGAACATCTGGTATCTTCTGAGACCAGTCTGAACTTTGTAAATTTACAAAATTCAATCTGGCTTATGTCCTAATTTCCACTTGGGCATGTATTAATGAGAGGCCTGGGGGCCTGGGTTATGGCATATGGTTAGAAAGTTGATGACATGTTCTAGATGAAGGTCATGAGGTGAGAGATGAGAGAAGCAGTTTCACATTGGAGAACCTGAGAAAGGTCATCTGAGGGCAGCAAGAGCGGAGGAGTGTCTGTGATGCCTGGTTTGGCAGTAAGGAACCAAACAGTTGGAGACTCTTAAAGTAACCTAAGGTCAAGAAAAGTCATTGAAGCTGGAGAATGACATGATGAAAATGATGCAATTATTTCTTTAAAAAATATTTTGGGAAAGATTATGCCAGAGGGAAAGCCTACATTAATAACTGTCAGAGCACCTTAGGCAAATCCTCCCATGTTTCAGAAAAGCTAAATAAAAGTAGAAAAATCTGATCTCTAATAAATAAAAGAGGGACAGATTGAAGAAGAGGAAAATACCATATGGACAACTGCTGATTCGCAGCAGGGAGGAGTGGCAAGGGATTGAAATATTGATTAAAGCTTTCAGCAAATTTACTAGGCTAAAAGGAACACAAGAGTTCTTGAAGCATAGGCGCCAAGGGAGTTTCTCCCCTCCCCACACTGTAGGTGAAACACGCATAGAGCTTGACACTGATTCTTTAACTTAGCATGATGTGTGTAGTGAGCTTTCTCAAGCTCTTGTTCCTCCGACCTAGGGGCAACTGGAGATGCAGAAAGGACAAACGATAGAAGACAGACATGCAGAATGTTGGCGTGGTGTGTTCTGGGCACTAGGATGCAGACGCACAACAGCCTTGTTGCTTCTTTTCCCTAATAACTCTTCTCTTACTTTGCTTCTTTTTTCTTAAAGCCTTGCTTCAAAAGTCATCTTTCTATTCTTTAAAGCCTCACTTCTACATTCTTTTTTTCTATTCTCTAAAGTCTCAGTCCTTAGAGTTACACTGTCCCATGTTCTCTCTTTAGCTTTCTTAAAATCTTGGTGCTCACACTTGCACTGTCCCATGTTCCTCTAATTTGTAGCATAGCTCAGCCACAGCAGCAGCAGCAGCATTCTCACAGCAGCTTCACAAGCAGGTCACAGCCAGCCAATCAAAATTCCCCATCAAAAAACCTTTTTGTCCTTCTTCAGCATGTCTTTTATATCCAGTGGTAAACAAGGTAAACAAGGAGGTGAGAAACAGTTCTTGGGGAGGGCATGATATTGTAACAAGAGAAACCTGCATTGCTACTTCTCTGAACATAAACAACTTAGGAAAAGCAGCTGTGCTACATCTTGCCATTTTTCATTACTAAATAATATTCCCGTGCATAGATATACCACTCATTATCACTTCATAAGTTGATAGACACATGAGTTTTTTCCATTGTTTTGGCTGTTAGTAATATTGCTGCAATGAACATTCATGTATGAATTTTTGTGTGGACATATGCTTTCATTCTCTTAGCTAGATACCTACAAGCAGATTTGCAAAGTCATCTGCCAATTCTATGCCTAAGCTTGTGAGGAACTATCCGCCTGCCTTCAAAGTGCCTGAATTATTTCTTCTTAGCACTATATGGGGGTTCCAATGTTTCCTTATGTTTGCAAGTAATTATTTTCAGCATTTCTGATTGTCATATTACTAGGTAAAATGTGGTATCTCACTGAAATTTTGATTTACATTTTCCTAATGGATCTGTGATAATTTTCAATTGTATACTTTCTTTTGAGAAATGCTTATACAGATCCTTTGCTCATTTAAAAAACTGGGTTATTTGTACATTTTTGGTGTGTGGGTACTGGGGTTTATGCTCAGGGAATTGCACTTGCTCGGCAGGTGCTCTACAACTGAAGCCACACCCCCAGGTGTATTTTTGTTATTAATATAGGGGTTCTTTTTTTTGCCACTATTGAACTCAGGGCCTTGAGCTCACTAGGCAAGTTTTCCACCACTTGAGTACTCTCTTTTTGTTTTAGTGTATTTTAACATGGGGTCTCACACTTTTGCCCAGGCTAGCCTAGAATATGATCCTCTTACTTCTGCTTCCCAAGTAGCTGGAAATATAGTTATGTTTGTTGAGATAGGGTCTCATTACTTTTTGCCTGGACTGGCTTGAACCACAATTCTCCTATCTCTGCCTCCCACATAGCTGGGAGTATAGGTACGTTCAACCACATCCCTAGCTTTCATATATGCTTTTATTTAGAAACTTACTCATTCTTGGCACATCTATGACTTGAAAATATTTTCTGCCATTCTGTGGTGGTTGTTACAGTTTATTGACAGTGTCCTTTAGGACTTATTTTTCTATTTCTAGGAAACCCAATTTATCTATTATTCATTGTAGTGTTTGTTTTTGATGCCATAATTTTGAATGCTTTACCTAACCTAATGTTACAGTTTATTGCAATCTTCTAAGTGTTTTATAGTTTTACATCTTACACTGAAGTTTATGCTGAATTTTTAATTTTTGTGAGTGATGTAAGAAAGGAGATATTAATCTTTTTTAATTACTATTTGGATCCACAGAGTGTTAAAGAGACAGGGAAAACTGCAATGTATGCTCTGATTTACATTATGAAAAATATCCTGTAGTAGTTTTGCAACAGCTATAAACTGTCAAATACAACTTTACTGCAGAGTTTGAACATATGTAAAGCTCTTGGTTAAATTGAAAAAGTGAGTATGATGTATTATTATAAGAAATGTCACAATGTGCCCCCAGCAGAATATTAAAAGCACAAACTTAAGAAGAATAAATTGAAAAGCGATAATTAAAGTTGCTATAGTCTCAGTAGAGAAAATTTTCTTCAAATTGAATTAATTTAAAATAAGCATCCTATTTCAAATTAATTTTGAATAAATAAAATTCAAAAAAATTTGAAACTTGTCAATATAAATAATGTAAAATTTTCATCATACAAATTTCATTAATGCTTTTGGTAAAAAGGAAAAAACAATTTTCCTGGAAAAGTACGTATGTTGTTCTATCCAAATACTGTCAGATGAAGACAGAATATCCAAACACAAGTGATCATATATAATCATTGAAGAAGATACACCCTAAGGAACTATGTTACATACTGACCAACACAGAGGTAGCTATTCATAACTTTACACATTTTCCAATATATAATGCCCTCAAATATTTAGAGCAGGACTATAGAAAGAGAACAGCAAATTCAATGCATATAGAGTAAAAGACAGGAAAGGAACAGAGAACAGCAGAAACTGAGCAAAACAAATGAATGAGAAAGTCTATTCAATGGGTAAGCATACTAAACAGGCACGTAGATGGCTGATAACGAGACCCCTTCTGTAACTAGGCAAATGCAAATTACAATTACATTGAATAATATCCAGCAACTGATAAGTGGAATAGAACATTCTTGCAATGAAATTCAATTTTGCATAAAAAAAGATCAAACTCCAACATATCCAACATTATGTGCAAATTTTAAAGCTGTCATGCTACTTGAGGTAAGACAGAAACAAAAGACTACGTGCTGTATATGATTTCACTTACATAAACTTCTAGAAAAGGCAAAATTAAAGTAATAACAGATCAATGGCTGTGTAGGTGTTCAGACAAGGAAGAAGACTCTGCCCAGAGACATCAGAAGGCTTCTTGTAGTGCTGGAAATGTATATAGTGT